GAGCACTGCCAGAGCTTAGAAGAGGCTGTGACACCAAGGATATCATTGCTAACATTAGAGGGATCTTGGCTAAAAGTAGAGAATACCAGAAGAATGCCTATTTGTGTTTTATTTGCTATGCAAATGCATTTGACTATGTCGATAATAACAAACAATGGCCAACATTGAGAAGAATGGGAAATCTTGAGTGGAAAGGAGTTGCGCTGCCAACCTAAAGAAACACGGTTTAAATCCACCAACTTCTTTACAGGAGAAAGATGGGAAGTCTCTTCCTATGTGAAACACTGCCTTTGAAAACTCGTCAGAGGCTCAGCTATTAGTCAGTCTCAGCTTGAGAGTACTCAACAACGTACTGCATGGAACAGTCTTATCCATTGTTGTTGTCAGGTACCATTGTATTTAGTTCAACTCATAACAACCCTATGAATAAAAGATCTGAACTCTATCCTATCCTGTGCCATCCTAATCATAACTGACATACTTCAGTCCATTGCTGTAATCATTGTCAGTTTATCTCATAAAGTGGTCTTCCTCTCTTTTGTTCACCTTCTATCAGTGTAAGCATGATGTCCCTTTCCAAGGAATAGTCTCTCCTAGCATCATACCAGAGGGGTGAGTTTGGTTTCCCCCCCTGTGTTGGCCGGGAACTGGCTCTGGAAATTTTGGTTGGCTGGAAGCCTCTTGATGGAGCCAATGAGAGCCGGGGGGCTTTGAAAATTCATTTGGGGTGTTTGAAAACTCATGTCCTTTGTCTGTATTGAGGTAACTTTGGATTGCTATGACATCTAGTGGTGTGCCATAATGCCATAATGGTTACACATGATTGACAATGTTTGGTAGAGCTCATTGATTAAGACGGGCTAAAGCAGGAGTGGCATCCACTTCCTAAACATGCCTGTGGAAGCTCTATGAACTTAGAAGGACAATAGTTATTTTGTTTATAGGGTTGGTACTAGATGGCACTTAAGAACATCATATAACACCAAAGCCCTTGTCTCCTTCTTTGGAGTTGGATGAAGTGGCTGGAGTCTGTAAAATGGTGCTCTTGTTTTGGTTGAGGATCTGTGTGGATTGTTTGGTCTTGTTTTAGAGTCAACAAGATCTTCTGGAGGGCCCTTTTATTTAAAAATTGGGCCTGAGGGATTATATCTTTAATCCCTCGTTACTATATTACAATGAAATATGC